TGTTCTGATCTTCATATATACTTCTACATCTCTGATATCTGCAGATCCTCAGATCCTAGTATCTCTAAAGTTATGGGTCCACAGATTCCTATTTTTGGATCTCAAGATCTACATCCATAGATCCTTTGATCTTCAGATGTCTACATTCACACATACTCAGATCCCAGTATCTCTACATCCATGGATTCACAGATCTCTGGATCTTTGGATCTCTAGACCCAGGATCTTTGGATCTCTACATCCTTGGATTCTTGGATCAGGCAATCAACCATTTTACATCCACAAATCCACAGATCCTAATATCTGCAGATCCTCAAATCTAGGGATTGTCACAGGTGACTTGGGATATTCCTAGCATTACCTGTACCCATACCCACAAAAACCCACACACACACCCCAAATGATCATCAAAGTGTCATTTACTCATCAACTTTGATGATCAATCTCCACTCACCTCACAAGCAACCATCTACTCATCAACCTTTCTGACAATTCCCATAAGTGGCCTTTCAGATCCTCAAATTCCAGTACCTCTACATCCATTGAATCTATAGTTACACTCAGCATGAACATCATTAGCAAGTCTATAAAACCTACCTCTTTTCTGTTTCCTCAAAAGCGCTTGAATCTGCCAAAGACAAGTACCCAAATTGAGAATTTAAAAGATTAGGACCAAATTGATTTCCTTACTGCCTTTTCCTTCTGTCAGATGTAATGATGGCCCAAGTCAGAAATGGTTAAACCAAAAGGATCAAACTTCCTAACAACACAAGAGAACTCTGCTGTGAGGGGTGATTTTTTTTCTCAAACTCACAGTTTTTGGAGAGATTCAATGAGCTCCAGAATGACAAGAAAAAATGGAACCCTCACCTTCAAATTCAAGTCATTGGTCCTCTCATTTCGTTCAAGTTCATTGTTTGCAGGGCCTTGAGGTTCATCAACAATCATTATATCATTGTCATTGTGTATCACAGTCAATGTGAGTGCAGGCATCATAGCATAGCACATGGAAAGACTGGGCCAGGAAATAGACTAGGGTGTTGGATAGCCTGTCAGAAGAGTCTGAGAGGGTCGAGGTCTAGCTGGTGTTCTCAAAGAAGGGGAGAAATGAGTGTCAATGTAAAAAAAAATCAGAGATCAGTGTACAAAGGCATATTGTCAGGATAAACACCCTCATCCACCTCTTGAGAGATGACAGAGCCCAATTCACCATAATGAGGTTTGTATTTATCTATTTTTCATAGATTTTTGACATCAAGCTATCAGACGTTTCTGGTAAATTTAAATTCAAGTTTGCTTTAGTGAGAAAAACCTTTTTCAGGGTAGGAGGAGATCCATTGGGGAGCAAACAACAGAGAGCTTTGCACATTGCATGATGAACCTCTATTCTTGGTGGCAAATTCAATGAATGCTATTCATTGGCTGCAGGGTCACGTCCATTGACACTCGCACTGCCCTTGCAAGGTTTCTATCAGCTCAATTGGCTTAAAATAGAGCTCAGCTCAGCAGCTCAAAGCTTATAAGCTGAGCCAAGCCGTTGAACCCACACACACACACCCAAAAGTACAGGTTTTGATGGGTACAGATATGGGCTTTTAGGAAACCTGAGGTACATAAAGTCATGTACTGTTGTGACTCCAAAATCACCTAGAATTGGCAGTAAACTTGATGGTTTAAACATGTATGCATTTGCTAACATCTTTGGTTTCCAGATGAGGGTCACCTTATTTATGCAGAACCCAGAGTCAAAAGGCCTTGCTGTGTTCCAACCAACACAATTCATGGTTATCATCACAGCAACATCTGCTCAGGTACATTAAACATGTAATGCTTGGATCATGAAGCTCAGTTCTGTGTTCCAACAGAACAGTTTGTGTGATTTATATGCCTATTTATGGTTGCTGAGGGTTAAATACATGAATCTGGAGGATCTGGAACACTTTGACCAATATGTCATGAAACTGTTGAGCAGCACTGACAAAAGGCTGATTGCAAAAGCAACACAAATTCCACAAGTGAGTATTGTTGATTTTTCTAATATGTCTTCATTCTTAGGATGTCATCAAAGGTAATGAAATATAGGCCACCTTACACAAGTGATGGGAGAATGCTTTTGAGGCCACATAACAAGTACTGGCATGACATTGTTGTAA